AGATCTTTGTGCCCTATCGATTATATCATATTATAATGTTTTAGAGCCATTGGGGAACATACGAGTTCTGATCGTGACCGTAATTTAATGGTACCATTTTGGGGGCAAAAGCACCCGGTTAGAGGGCCCTAGTTATAACCATTTACCTGTGATGCTATTTGGCGATGAAACCACATGTTAGAGGACACATGCCATGTCCTACTAGCAAGAGATAGTTTGAGAATAAATCTTAATGATATTTTAACTGGACATTCACTCTCTGTAAGCTAAAGTGATTTTTAAATTTTTTTCACCTCGATAAATTGTTGCAAATGGTGGATTGATTTTTTCTTTAAGTATTTAGGTGTTTTATTTCAATTAAGCATTTTAAATTTTTGAAAACTAATAGATTTTTAAAATTTTATTTACACTTGACCCTTGGACAATTAACATTGAGATTTGAGGGCATTTCTTTGAAATTTATGTGGCAGTCTTCTGATTGAGATTTGCATTCAACACGGCCATCATCAGGGTGACATGGTTGTCATTTGAATATGTTTTATAAGAATTTGGAAACATTTGCAAGGATAAAATACCCTCCTGTTGAGATAAACAATCAATAAGGCCATCATTGGAGATCTTAAATAGCTTGTATATTTGTCACTTAAACCATACCAACTCTATTTGATTGCAAATAGAAGATCAAGTTCAGCTCTTAAATTTTGGAGTTATTGTGTGGATATCAAAACTTAGGGTATTCATTTTAATATATGAATTTTCTTTATAAGAGACCTTAGAGGCTTAATATGAACATATAAAACCAAATACTCCAGTTGGCACTACAATCATGTTTTTTTTCGATGGTTCAAGTCATGTCAACTCCAATCCATTCAAATAGGAGAATCAGACTTGAGCTTAAGTTCACTTTTAACCCATGCAACATCCTCAAGCATCACGTGTGTACATATATGACACTCGTCGGGGCCCATGCAAGTATTTTATTTCCTTCAAATATCACATATATTTTTATGTGCATTTCGTATAATATATTTGCAAGAAGCTAATACATTTGGTATGGTGTACATAATATATACCACACTTATATCATAAAGCATTTGTATGATTGAAATGCCATGTTTATGTGATTGGTATGATACATCAGCATGATTGGCATGATGTATTTATATGATTGTCACATTTGAATGAAAAGCATCATGCATTTGCATAACTATCATAATTTACTTATCAATTGGCATGATGCACTTGCACAAGTGACATAACTTATTTATATGATATATGTAATGCATTCCCATTAGGCATCCATATGTTGCTTAGCCTACACGCATGGTTTATTTGCATTTTGCAATATGTTAGCATAACGCATTTTTATTTTGCATAGCATGTCTATATAATGCATTTATGTGTTGCTCGTATATTTGCATAATGCATTTGTGTGGTGGCTTAATGCATTCATGTAGCATATAATGTGTTTGCATGTTGGTATAATGCGCTACTATGACACAGTGCATTTTTGCATGCTGGATGTTGTGTTTATATAATGCATTTTGCACGTTGAAGAGTATATGTTCACAGTGTGTTTGTATATATATATATATATGTGTGTGTGTGTGTGTGTGTGTGTGTGTGTATGTGTATGTGTGTGTGTGTGACTTAGTGCATATTCATAACATATTTATATATTTTTTCTTTTGGGTAACGTACACTGATGATGCATTTGATTTGTACACTTTCATACTTTCCAAAACATTGGCATAAAGCATATGCATATTCTCAGTGCATTATTACGCATTTCAATACACATTGTTGAAATATTATGCATTTCTCGAGATAACCACGCACTCTTGAGGCAGCAGCACATCTCTTGGGGTTATAATACACTTCTTGAGGCTACTGCACTCTTTTCAAAGCAGTGGCACATTCCTCAAGATAATATGCTTAAATTTAGCAAATTATATTATGATGCATGAGATGAGCTTTTAAAATATTTAAATATAATTTGTTACGCGGATGGTTATCATTTGGAAAGTGCGCAAGATTTTAGATAGAATTCAAGAAATGTCTTATGTTCGCTTGTACGAGTGTTGCGGATCCAGTGACGTGAAAGTGTATTAGATTTAAGTTATTGTAAATATTATTTAGTTCATGTTGCCTCATCGTGCTATTACTTATAAATAAATTACATTGTTCGCTATGAATCTCCTATTATCACATATAAGCTAGTTGTGTGTACTAAAAATTATCTGTTTCTGCTCACAGGTGAATTGTAGTGTTCCTTACAAGTTTCTTATCTTCACCCACAAACAAATTGTTTTGTGCATCAAGAATCCTTCATTCATACCCATAGACAATATATATATTCTTTTACAGTTCATAAATATTGCTTATAGGCAAGTAGTGACCATTTGAATTCACTGGCTATTTCATGTAAGAGAGCTGCATTTGCAAATCTTCTAATGTTGCCCATAAATGGGCTTATGTATGCATCACAAGTTCCTACTCATGTTTGTAGGCAAGTTGTGTGCATCACAAGTCTTCTTTTGTTTCCTTAGGTGCTTGCATTCATTACAAGTATTATGCCTTTGCTCATAGACAGGTTATTGTATTCATTTCCATAGACAATTTTGTGGAAAGCTATCATATTCATTGCATATCGATCGTCATTTCTTGTAGGCAGAATAATGTGTTCATTTGCAAGTTAATTGGTATTAGCTACAAGCAAGCTATATTCATTACAACCTCCTCAAACATACCCTGTTGGCGAATTATCAACTTCATTGCATATCAATCATCATTGTTTGTTGGGAATTAATGTAATCATTTGAAAACTAGCTAATATTGACTGTAGGGTGTCAGTTACATTTGTTGCATATTCTCTATGCCTTGCTCATGAACATATTATATTCATTGCAAATTTCTTATCTTACTTGTAATTAGGTCGTCACATTACCCTCAATTTTGTTGGTCACGGCTTGTAAGTAAATTATTATGTGCATTGCATTTTTTTCCACCATAAATCTGTTATAGTTGACTGCTATTGTGCTGCCATTTTCTTTACAAGTCCCCTGATTCCTTTCTCCTATCTGATTTTTTTTTTTTTGTGAGTTGGATTTTTTAAACATTTATCCAAGTTCGGTTCCATGTAGTCTTGTTGAAATCAAGTCCCACATTTGTTGAAAAGTTTGACAACCTCCCAACGTCTTCCCATTTAAGAGAATTTTGGGGATTCTAAGTTTGCCCATAACACAAAAAGGCATGCATGGTCGATGTTAGGGGACACCGCGTCCTTGGTCTTCTATCCCATAACGATAAGAAAGGCGTTCATCGGTTGCATGGATACCTGCTCGAAAAACTCACAAATTTCCCTGCTAGCCTAAAAGTGCGTACAAGTACTTAATTTTACCCAGCCGTACTAAGAGAAGCGCGCAAATGGCTTACCGATCCATTGCATGCTTCACGCTGAACTTCCTCTCTCCTTGCTAAAAAGAAACGTGCATAGAAGATCAACTCGTTGCGCCGCAAGCGTCAAAAATGGGATTTCAAGATTTTTATGTTTAGAAAACATTATACCTTGCACAAAATAGGCAACGATGATGTCAAGAGCATGAGAATGACGAGTCAAAATACAAATCCTTCTCCCTCTTTTTTTTTTTAAATCTCTCTTCTTGTTCTTTCTTTCTCTCTTTGTCTTTCTTTAACTATTACTAATAACAATCAATAATAATATTGAGAGAGGGTGGCTGTTAAATGCTTTGAATGTCTGAGCTTGAGTGTTTGTAGGCAAGTAGGTGAACTTTTGGATTATGGAAGAAGTTAGTTGTTTGGTTGTTGTTTTGAGCAGGGGAAATGTGAGAAGTTAAAGTTTGCCGGATGGATCAAATGGGAAGTTTGCAATTGTGGGTTGAAGAAAGTTGTACGAAGTGTTGTAGTAAGGAAGAATAGCAAGTGGCAATTTTCTCAGGTGAATGGAGAGGAGAAAGAGTAGGTTGTTGCAAGCTTTTAGGGTCGGGCAAGGTGTGAAGGTGGGCTGATAATGGGCTGTTGATTTGCTAGAGGATTGCAGGATGGGCTTGGGGTGTTGGCTGTGAGAGAGGAGAAAGAATGACTTGGGCTGCTGCTATTAGAGATTTATGGTAGTGAGGAGTGGAGATTAGGCTAATGATGGACGAAACAGAGAGGAAGGCTGTAAATGGTCGTCGGGCAGCAAATTAGCGGGAATACAGTATTGGGCTGGAGGAGGGATTTGGAGTTCGGCTGCTATCAGATTCGAATAGGACGGGAGAAAATGTAGCTGTTGTTGAGAACAGGCAGAGAGAAGCGTCCTATAGGTGAGGTGAGTGGGATTGGATCGAGAGACAGGGGTTGGTCTCAGGGGGCGTGAGGGAGTTCCGTCTGCTGGAGTGCAGAGACAGGCTGTTGAGTTGAGGCTTGAGGAGGGACAGAGAGGGGGTCGGGCTGTCTCATGCGAATAGAGGGAGACGATCCTAACTCTCTCAACTTGATTTATTGCATGCATTAAGCATGATCAAGAGGATTGTGCTCTTAGTGCTAACTAGTAAAGGAAAATCTAAAGAATTAAACCTTTGGGTCCCTAAACCTTTTTAGTATTTTCCTATCCCTATTTTATAAGAAATGAAAAATAAAGAGAATTATTTTACTAACATGTGCGTGACTTAGAAAAGAAAGATAGAAGAACTAAAATCCTTCTTAATTTTACTACTCAGAGTTAAGATTTCGAACAAAACATATATACTATAAGTCTAAAAAAAACATCCAAAATCTATAAATGCAATTTTTAAGAAGATAATTTAGATATATATTCTAGTTCAACTGATCTGTGATTTTCTTTGACCAAATCAGTTCTCTTTGATTCAAATCATTTACGCACGAGTTCTTCCATTCAATACAACAATTCCACTAGTGTCACTTTTCCTTGCAAAGATTCAATCAATCCAAATAATCAAAACTATCTAAAAAGAGGCAAGATAAGCAAATGTACAGACCTTAGAATTAGTAATTTGCTCTGAAGAAAATGACGTGAAAAAAAAATCATTTTCTAGACGCAAGGGCCAGCCAAGCTTAAAACAATTGTTCGACCTGCATGATCAGAAAGCAAACAAAAGATTCTGTTGAGCATTATAATTTTGAAGAGCATGGACTCTTCTCAAAACACTCTTACTACTTACCAAAAGAATTCATTCAAATCATCATAATTTCTCCATTTTGAATGGTCTGAAACACCATTTTTGTTTTTCTGAGCTTCCTTCGTTAATAAAAGGAAATATGGATATGATTATCAAAAATTGATGCAATAAAGACGGTGAAATATAAAGTAACAAATATAACCTCATTGATAACTTTGTAAATTGGGGTGATAACATTTCCCAAAAATGATTCATTTGGTCCTCCATAAGCTGGCACTACCTTCTTTCCAGTATTTAAGCAAACGGCACCAGATAATACTCCATATAACTCGTATGCCATCTGAAACACAAGTTTTATCTAGTCAAGAAGAAACATGACAAAAAAAGGACACAAAATAAAGAATTATTATGGAATATGATTGAAGTGGTTTGCTTCGACACTTTGTGAAATTAGAATGTTTTATCTTCAGGCCACAAAGGTTATAATTTCATATCCATCGCTTTCACTGCATCAAAGCAAAGCTCATAGGAAAGTGTCTACCATTAAATTAGTATGTTATACAACTGGGAATAAATTTACATTATCAACAAAGCGTAAGAAGTTTAACATAAAAAAAAGACAAATAAAGTTTAGCCAACTAAAAAAACTGATATATGATGCGACCACAGTAGAAAAATAGATATTACATGATGAAAAATGTAACACAGGCATTCTGGCATCAGCCGCAAGTTAGAAGCCTCGCCCCAGATAAGAAGATAGAGAGCAATGTATAAAATTTTATATTGCTGTATTTCCTGCTTCACTGATGGTAACCTGAAAGAAGAATAAAGATATGTAATCTAGACAAAGCAAAGTAGATTAAAAGACTTGGATCTTTCCGGTCAATTTTATGTTTAAGGAAAGATTTTAAAATTCTTAATGGCATGCATAGCATGCTAAATTAGCATAAGAAGACATTGTCAAACGAACCTTACCATAAGTTACAATTACGGCCCAAAAATTTGCACCAGTTTCTATAATTTTTGAAGATTTTTGCCATAAGCTCATCCACAGCTCTATCATCAAGCTGGAAAACATGATTTATGTTTTAGAGTACTTAACAATAATGTTAAAAAATAGATGAGCCTGCTGCATAATGATACGGCCATAATACCTTTGTGGCCAGTGCAGGTTTAGGATTTTGCCTAACATGCATATTAGCAAGCAGTAAAACCAAATGTTCCCGTTGATTGGAAACACTTCCAGCCTGAAAAATCAATAAAAACACTTTTATGAACCAAATGTGGACTCGTTAAGTGCTGTGCAGTTAGTAGAACGATTAGAAGCTGTTTGACGTGGGAGGCCCTTCTATTCAACCAGTGTGGCAGATTGCATAAAGAAATAATAACTCCAAGGCCCTAAATTTCAGCCATAAAAAGATGACATCGATTAGTTCACCTGAAAACCAAACAAGCTCTGCAGCCAATACAGTATATCCGAAGGGAGCTCTGTTTCACAGCTGTTCTCTGTACTTGGAAGGCCTCTAACATTGCGAATAGCTGAAACAGCAGCTTCAATCTGTGGAACGTTAGATCAGAATCAGTTTTAATCTCCATAAAAGTGGGCTTTTGATCAGCTACAAGACCGAGTTAACAACTCAAAAGTTGACACGGTAATAAGGTTTAAATGTAGAACAAGGAATGAGTTCAAATGAACACAAAGAAGATGATTCCTAGTATGAAAAACAATGCTTAAAGTTGCTTGCTTATATTTTGAAAAAGGTACTACACTCTCCAAAAAAAAAACTATACAAAAAATCATTGGGGTCCACCTCCTTAGGTGGACCAATCAAAATGGGGGTTTTCATGCTTTTTTTTGCGTAGGAAATGCATTTATTGATCCACCTAATCAAAAGTTGATGTGAATTAAGTTAGATAAGATCAATAACACTATGGGCCTTGGTTTCTTGTGATTAGAAAACACGTTTATTAAAATAATAATAATTGCTAGATCATGCCATTTAGTGGTTGAAATTATAAATCAACATCTGCTCTAAACTCCACAAATTCCTCAAATGTAAGGATTTTGATTTTTCACAGAAAATAACTGAAAACAAAATCACAGCCAAACAAGTTCAAATAAACTTCAACCAAATAGTGCATTTGTACTTCCGACCAAACATGTAGAACTGGTTTTAGAATTACAAAAAAAGCATAATACTGGTTTTGGAATTACAAAAAACAACAGGATTTTTATTCCAACTGAATTTTTATTTGCATCCAATCAAATGAGCTCTAATAAGAAACTAAAGTGTTCCCAACAAAATTTGTAATTATTTTGATAATTCAAAATCTGCCTCGCATCAAACCTCTGGAAGAAGCATTATAGCATTTTTGTTATCACCAGAATCAAGGGGAAGAATGTTGTATGGACTATAAGATCCTGATTTTTCCACGATGTCCTGACCATCAGGAAGACTCTGCTGTCAAGTTAAATGAAATCCATTAAAAAATCTTACAAGTTTCCTGCGGATTAAACCATATTCGAGATAGATGACTGCATGGTTTGTAGAAAAAGGTATAACCTCATGACCGTCACCAAATGGAACTGCCTTTAGAACTTCCATAAGAACAGAAGCAATTTCAAATGCATTTTCAGCCTTCTTCCTGCAAGAAAAATATATTTAAAAAGCTAGCTGCCTGGCCATCATGGATTAAACTAAGACAAATTTATGAGAATGCATATGCATAATTTCATCTCTCAGAAACAAATAAGATAGAAATTCGTACTTAAGATGGAGATATTCCAGTTCACGAGCATCACTTTTTTTAGTTCGAAGTGCTTTGGTGACCTCTTCATCCTATTTAATTGAAAGGGAGTTAATATATCAAAACTAATAAATATTACAACAAAAATATCATAACAGAGGACACAAGGTGCTAGAATCTATAGAAACCCCTATAGAACAAAATCTTAAGAACAACATCGTGGGAAATCAAAAACTTAAAAGAGAATAAGCAGATAAATGCCAGTGGATTATATTAGAAAAACCTGAATTGAGTTTATGTAATAGGTAGGGTAAGGCAACCTTGGACCTTAAAAATCCTCCATTTAGAAACCTTTTTAATTTAAATGCCAGTCCCTAAGATGAACTGCTGGTCTTGTATAGGTTCTTGTTCACTATGGTGTTAACATTTTCGTCAGATTCACTCATATGAATCACCTTCCATTTAAATTTTAAAATTTATATATTGATGAGAACACCCACTGACCCATAAAAAAAGTAAGAACTATTTTTTTTAAATAGTAAGATTTAGGAAAATATTTTTAGCTTTCAAATATAATTTTTTTATTAAAATGCCAAAACGTAGAGTAGCTAAAACAAAAACCTAACATCTTCCCCACAAAGTCCTTGTATGGAATTGATCTTCCTCACCTTCGGAGTTCCCCTTGATGGCCACCAAACAAGAGTCCCCTTCCGGCATTCTCTCTCTCTCTCCCTCTCTCTCTCTAATCAGTTATGTACCATGAGTGAGTCTTATTCCACCATGACTGCCTTTTTCTTTTTTTATTTCCCTCTCTTGTTTTCTCTCAATCCGTCAAAATTTTTTTAGTAGGTACTCCTCTCTCTCTCTCTCTCTCTCTATCTGTGAGAGTGAATCTCTATTTTTTTGTCTTCTATTTCCTCATTTTATTCCTAGCCCTTTCATAATAATTTATATATTTTTTACTATGGAAATTGAAGATATCACTGAAGTTTTTTTTTTAGAAACTCCAATCTCTTTCATAGGAATTTTGTGAATTTGAAGTAAATTAACTAAAGTCATCTACTTTGTCGAGAGGGGAATTGCAAGCTTCGAGTCAAATAAATTAACATATTCATATTAAAACTATTATTCTTTTTTTATTGAATATATTACTATATTAATAAAATACATCTCTTCTTTTTATTTATTTAATTACTCTTTATAGACTATAGAAACTGTAGAAGAAAATAAAAATTAGATACTCTCAATTATATGTTTTTTTATCATATAATTTACCTATTTATAATTAACTCTAACAAATATAATAAAATAAACTATCAATGTCAATCCCAAACCAGATGAAGGCTAAAGGAATTTTTAAAATCAGAAATTTATGCCTCCATAGAAAAAAATCCTAGCTTCGCCCCCAGAACCAACTCCCGCGAACAGGCAAGCTCCAGCAGTAAGTTTGAACAATTTCTTGTGTATTCATCAACTTCCATATCACAAAGCAAATAGTAATTGCCTATCAAACAACAAAATATAGCAAATAGAAGACAGTTTCCAAAATATGCTTATGGATAGATAATATCTACAGAAAAGCAATCATCTTTAGCTTATTTTGGCAATAGAAAACACAAGTACCTGCTGAAGGCGCTGAAGAAGAGAAGTTTTGAGCTGTCGCACACCGCGCCCACTAGAATTTTGATCCATCATATGAATTTTCACGAATGCATGGAATCGACCTAAACCAAGATAACTTTATAAAGAAAAAAATATATATATTTTTTTGTATTCAAAATTCCTCCTACCAGATCCCACTTGCATAAAAGATAGCTAAATATATCAAAAGAAAATGAAGAATAATAAAAATTAAAAAATTTGGTCTAAATACATGGTAAAACATCTACATCTTTCATAGTTCTATAACAGAAGATATGTTTGAACGATCAAATGATCTTTAGGCATAAACTATCGAATATGTTGTGATTAAATCATTTTTCTTTATTATAGGGCCACCTTTGGAGTGAACTGTATAAGCAATCAAGAGAAACATTTTTGTTCGCATTACTAATCATAAAAGAGATGTAGTTAAATATTGACCTCAACTTCATTTTATTAATCCTTCAAAGAACAAGCATGCACCGCTTCTATAATTAACCTTGCCCTACCTTCTTAAGATATGGAGTTCAAACAATTGGCTTAAGCGCATTGAATACTTCTTCAAAGGACAATTATTCTATTCCAACATCACCTCAGAACCACAATTAATGGGTGGTCAAAGGCAAAGAGGGAGAAAACAATAATTAATAGAAGCCATATGTTGACCTCAATAAGTATTCCGAATTTGTCCCTATCAAATATTGTAAGAAAAACGAGCAACATTGCACCTGTGTTGTTCGAAACACATCAACCAGAAGTCGAAATCACCTGAATAACAAATTGCATCTATTGGATTGGCGCATAGACAAAAATCTTAATATCCACCCACATGCGAGGTGATGATGCAACTTCGATTTGCAAGAACAATGAAAATTTTGTAGAGAAAAAGTCAATCTATACCTTTATTATTATTATTATTATTATTATTATTATTATTATTATTAAAAATAAGAAAAGCAAATCCCTGCAGTCCTATCTTCCCCGTACATGCTCCTCTCCTCTCAATGTCAAATGCACATCGCTCATAACCGCGACCATACCGCGCAATCCCTCTTCACATGCAACCCTCTGACTCAATCTCTCACTCCCTCATGTATTTTCATTATCTATCACTCACTCCCTCTAGTTCTTCCTAGTCGCCGCACTACCACCTACTCAACCCCGCCACCATAGCTAGCTCTCCGCTATCTTCATTGCCTACTCTACCCCACCTTGTCTTCGCCGCCACCCCAATCATTATTTCTTCCTTAATCTCTATTTCTCTGTCTCTCTTTCTCTCTCAATTAACACCTACAAATCCGTGCACTACTCCAATTGTCCTGACCCAATCCAATTCAAGGTAATCCACTGAAATTCAAATCAGTGCACCATTCCAATTGTCCTGACCCAATCCAATTCAAGGTAATCCACTAAAATTCTACATCTGAATCATTTTGCATGTGTCCAAGAATGTTTTCTATGCGTCTAAAATTTACATGTGTTCTAAAAAAGGTACCAGAGATCAGTTTGCATATTCTAAAAAATCTAAAATTTTCCTTCTAAGGTGCCACGGAACCGGAGTAGGCGATGTTGAGTTCTCTTGAATTTTAGAAATTAATTCATGTTGGGGCATTGGGGGAAGCACTGCAGCATTGTGGACTCCAAAAGGGAGCGTTGCGGCACTTGCTTGATTGGACGCCATGATGCTAGGACGAATTTTTATATTAAAAATATCATTCTCCACTATTCTGCACATTTATATTGCCTCAAGGTAGCAGACTAGAGAGAGGAATTCTAGAGAGAAAGTTTGTTTCAGCCCACTTCGAATCATTTTCAACTTTTGTCCATGTTCTGAAAAATTATCTGGCTCGATATAGGTAGTATTTTATTTATCCTAGTTTTAAAAAATACGAGAATTTCATAAATTTTCTAATTTAATTTATAATTGCGTTAGTGGAAAACGGAGTTAACTTAATATCTGCAAAACTATTATGGTTCCCAAAAATAATTTGTAATACAATTAAAGCTTCAAAATAATTCTCTAAAAAAAATTTAATAATTTGATTATATTCTAAAATAGTAAGTTTCTACTCATTAGTACATTCTGCAGACTACCATTAAAACATTCTATTTAATTCTAGAATTTACTATGTTTCCTTTACAACAATGAAATGAATTATATGTTTATTTAATTGAAATGTGTGATTCTGAGGAGATCTGGTGGGTATAGAGGAATTTCTATTATGATACTAAATGCACATTATGGTATTATATACACATTCTATTTTGGTTGTTGCATACATATTCTATTTTGGTGTTAGGCATTGGATCGGAAGTTATAAGTGTTTGTCTTCTAATATGTCAGCACGGAAGTCATAAGGGCTAGAATTATTTGAATTTTATTCTGATAGGAGATATGAGAGCCTGAGAAAAATTTTAGATTTTCTGCTCTGTACATTAAGTGCATGTCTATTTACTTTCCTACATTGCTACATACAATTCTAATAATGGAAAGCACTATTCTATTCAGTACAATGATTATTATGGATTGTTCTTAAATTCAATTAAATTCATATAAATGATTTAATTAGAAATTTAGATCAGTATGTGCGGCCTGTTGAGTTGTGCTGGATCACAGTTTATCAGTTGAGTAGCTAAATATGATATGATCAGTATGAGTCAATATAAGTATTTCTCTTCTTTTTTTTTTTTTTTTTTTTTTAATTTTTTTTTTTTTTTTTTTTTGTTAAAGTCATGATTAGTTATTAAAATTGCTCTATTATGTAGCTCAACCTATAACCATGTATTGTAGTGTAATAGTTGTGCATATATTTTGATGAGAAATGAATGGACATTTTATGGATGACTTATTTTATGCATATTGGTAGTTTTTAGCAACTTTGTAATTTGTTATTAAATTTTAATTCTGTTTGAAGAAGATGGAAAAACCTGAAAAGTTGTCTTCAAACTGAATTAAAATTAATAACAAATCTTTATTATATATTTTGAGAAACGCAATAGGACTTATTCTGTCTGTGGGTCTTATCGGGTTAAGTTGTGACAGTCCCCTTTTGATATCAGAATAATGATTTTTTAGATCTAAAATGAAAAATAGAGCTATAGAAATTGATCTATAAAAACAAATAGATTTGGGTACGTCTGAGCATTCATTTCTTCTTGTTTTTACATACATGTGTGTTCATCCATGTGCTTTGTGTAATTATGAATCTGTAAGACCTAGATATATCAGATGGGAAGAGTGTTTGTCAGGCAGTAGGCATAATGTTTCACAATATACCAGTCTAATAGCCCAACTGATGGACGAAGTACAAAGTAGGATCCTTTCTATCAGATTAGATGATGTAGACCGACAATTGCAGATGTTTCTGAGATTGAAGTATCAGAGATTTGAGGGAGTTGTTGAGCCTAGGGCTGTATAAGATTGACTGAGGAGGCTGGAGAAGACACTTGATGTTATGAGTGTCCTACTAAGAGGAAGGTACTTATGAACATTTTACAGTTAGATAGAAAGACGGAGCACTGGTGGTTGGACCAGCGAGACGAGAAGTTTTAGGGGAGGATAAACTCCCTGATCAGTTAGGAAGAGTTTACTAATGTATTCCAAACATAGTTTGTACCATATTTTGCACATCAGTAGATATAGGAGAATTTTCAGAGGCTTGTCTGGAAACACAAAACTGTTATGCAATATGAGGCTAAATTTACTACATTAACTAGGTATGCTGATCTGCAGTTGTTTAGCACTCCGGAGAAGTGTTATATATCTTTGAAATGGCTTCAGGATAATTTAAGATAGCCACTGGTTTCGTTCCCTATTTATGATTTCTCTGAGTTGGTAGAACAAGCTCATCTAATAGAGAATGATTTGATAGCTAGTCAATAGTTGTGGACTACTAGTAAAAAGCAGTTTAGCAACAAAACTTCTGGTAGTGGTAGCTTCTCTAGGAAGAATAGCAGGTTTGGACTCTCTGAGTCCAGGAGAGGAGGATAGTCTATGTCTATGGCAGTCCCTAACAGCATGGTGAGTTTTGATTTTGTTAGTGGGGCACCTATGTGCCGTAGTTGTGGCATGTGTCACTTTGGTCAATGCTATAGGAAGACCGAATAGTGCTTCCAGTGTGGTTAGTTTGGACACAGAGTAGCAGAGTGTCTATAGGTGGTACTAGATTAACGTTCTGAGCTAAGGTCTGAGAGTTCTGCCATACTAGCAGGGAGACTAAGGATAGTTTGACTTCATATGTTTGCTAAGGGATATTCTAGTAGAGGCAATGGCTCTAATTCTATAGCAAGGAGACCACCCTCAGGTCAGAGAGAGTTTGGTAGTTTTGTTGCACTTGCTTTGATTCAAGCACGTGTGTAGTTTGACTCAGCATAAGGCTCGAGATGCCCCCAATGTTGTTTAGGTATGACTGATATTTTTTTTTCAAGCCTATCATAATTTATTCAATTATGAAGCTAGTCACTCATTTATTTTTTAGCATTATTTTGATTTACTATACTTGCCTTCCGTATTACTGCCTTTTACGTTGTCTGCTATCTTGTCGACAAGAGATGGAATGGTAGCCAGTAGGGTATGTTTCTGTTACATAGAAATATCTAATAGGAAGTGGAGATCTAGTCTGATTCTGTTGTCTATATTAGAATTTGATATCATATTAATTTATGGTCTTCTATATTCATCATAGGTATGGCTCCATATGAAGCTCTATAAGGTAGTTATGTAGAACCCTAATGTCTTTAATAGAGGTAGATGAAAGGAATCTAATAGGAAGTGGAGATCTAGTCTGATTCTGTTGTCTATATCAGAATTTGATATCATATTAATTTATGGTCTTCTATATTCATCATAGGTATGGCTCCATATGAAGCTCTATAAGGTAGTTATGTATAACCCTAATGTCTTTAATAGAGGTAGATGAAAGGAATCTAATAAAAAAATTAAAAAAAAAAATAAAAAGGAATCTAATAGGACCAGCTTTAAATGATAATGCTACTGAAAAGAAATGTCTGATTAGAGATAGATTAAAAGTTGTGTAAGATAAGCAGAAATAGTATTATGATGTCAAGCACCAAGCAGTAGAAT